CAAGCCACCCAGGTGCCCCTGTAATACTTGTTTTTTATATTTTTTTTATTTTCATTTTGTTTAAATTTTAGTGAACTTAGAGTGCAGTATCAGTTTCTGGAGTAGAATTCAGTGCTTCATCACTTACAACACCCAGTGTTCATCACAACAAGTGCCCTCCTTAATACCCATCACCCATCTAGCCCATCCCCCACCCACCTCCTTCCATCAACCCTCAGCTTGTTCTCTACCATTAAGAATCTCTTATGGCTTGTTTCCCTCTCCCTTTTTCTTCTTTTCCCCCTTCCCATATGTTCATCTGTTTTCTTAAATTCCACATATGAGTGAGATCATATATTTGTCTTTCTCTGACTTATTTCACTTATCATAATACACTCTAGCTCCATCCATGTCGTTGCAAATGGCAAGATTTCATTCTTTTTAACGGCTGTCAATTGTTTATCATGTATTGTCTATTTATTGTCTGTATCTTTTTGAAATGTCTGCTTAAGTCTTTTGCCAATGTTAATGGTTTGTCTTTCTATTGGTGAGTTGTAGTTTTTTTAATAATCTGGGTGAAAGGATTTGGCTGATAAATACTGTTTGCATATTTTCTCTCAGTATGTGGCTTTCCTTAATATTTGAAATTTTGACTTATGAATACAAATAGTCTTTATGAAACCTAATTATCATCTTTTCTGTATGGTAATTGCTGTGTCCTGAGAAATCTTTGCCTACACAACATCATAAATATGGTCCCCAGTGTTTTCTCCAAAAGTCTTTAGTTTAGCTTTAGTGTTGAAGACTATGAACTAGCTTGATTTTCATCTATAGTGTATGGTACTGGCCAGCATTCATTTTTCTCATATGGATATCTACTTACTTCAAAACCACTTGTCAAAAAAACTTTTTTCCCGTAGGATTGGCTTTGTACCTTTACTAGAAATGACTTGTGCATATAAATGGGGGTATATCTCTTGGGTTTATATTTAATTCCATACCATCCTGATTAGAGTAAGTCCATTCTGATTGGAATGGAAGGCCTTCTAGCTTTGTTCTTTTCTGTGATTGTTTTGGATATAGGAAGTCCCTTTGCATTTCTATGTAATTTTTAGGTAAAGCTTATTAATTTATGATTATGATTGCATTGAATCTATAAATTAATTTAAGGAGAACATTTAACCAATTTTGTGTCTTCCGATATATGAACATGGGGTATCTCCCCATTTATTTTGGTCTTTTAAAATATCAAAAAAATTTGTAGATTTTAGTGTACAGATCTTCCATGTTTTGTTAAAATTATTCCTAAGTATTTCATGTTTCTTTAATGACACTTCAATGGTTGTGATTTTTTTTATATGTATTGCTGGATTCTGTGTACTAAATTATTTTTATGAATTTTTGCCTATGTTCATGAGGAATTTTTTTTCCCTGTTTTGGAATGTCCTTGGTTTTGTATCAAGGTAATGCTTGCCTTAAATAAAATAAGTTGAGAATGAAAAAAAAAAGAAAGATAAAAGGTAAGAAAGGAACAGATGCCCCAGTAGCCAAGGAAAAGAATTCCCTAATGGGTAAAAATATTAATTCTATGGACAGACAATTTCTAAAACGAATTTTCTAAGTTCCAAAATACTTCTATTAAATATGGTCAGGGTAGTCCAAGTCTTTGAATGTTTAGAAATAATTTTATGTTCAGAAAATCACTGATTAGTGGCTACAAATTTTGTGATAGTTACCTACAAATATAAAGAATCAAGCATCAATGAGAGAATAAGCATTAGCAGTTTCTATAATGTGCTGAGGAGGTTGTTGATCAAGTTTCTTTCCTTGTGTTGACTGTTAAGAAAAGTCAGAGCCAGATTTGTGTCCCATATCTGTTAAAGTACAGTAGAGCATAATTTGTTGTTTTATGACTCTATCTCTGGCTTCCTCTTTTCCATTCCTTCATTTATTTTAACTCACATTTCTGTTAAAAAAAAAAAATCTAATTTGTATAATGCAAGCCATTTTAGCTGATGCACTTGGCACCATTACTGGGAAGTTAAATTTTAAAAGTTGGTTGAAATAGAATAAAAATATATAAATATGCTCCATCATAATTAGCTTTTAAACATTTTAAGCTAAAATGTTCAGTGACATTTTAAACTTTAGATTGTATTCTATTAAACTTTTTAAATTTAGTATTTTAACTGAAAACATATTTATTCACAGTTTTTTGTTACATGAGACCAGAGTCATCTTGTATATTTTTATATGATTTTATATGATTCTGGTTTTTCTCTGAAGAAAACATTGGGAAGTATCTAAGCTTTCTAACCAGTCTTTTTTTTTTTTTTCCAATATGGAGGAAAGTTTATAAAAACACTTGCAAAATTGCACAATCCTAGATATTTCAACATTCTGCCACCACCCAGATTTCAATGGTTCACATATATTTTCAACACTTTTTCTTCCTAGTGACTTTTATTTGTTGACTCTTTCCTTAAGAATTCAACCAAGTTTTTGTATTTGCTTTGAAAAATACTTATGAAAATTTTCAAATGGAAAGTACAGTAATAATGAAAACACTTATGTTCATGCCTTCAATTTAATCTTCCATAAATCTCTTTTTAAAAAGTTTCCTTCCCCCTTAGAAGTATGTATGCCACAAATTTGGTATTTCTTATGTATATTTTAGCATGATTCATATTTTCATCTCTAAACCATGTACACTGTTTTGTGTGTTTATTTATTTTTTTTTAAGATTTTTTTATTTGACAGAGAGGCACAGCGAGAGAGGGAACACAAGTAGGGGGCAGCGGGAGAGGGAGAAGCAGGCTTCCCGCTGAGCAGGGAGCCCGATGTGGGGGGTCCTGGGATCATGACCTGAGCCGAAGGCAGACGCTTAACCGACTGAGCCACCCAGGTGCCCCTATTTTGTGTGTTTAAAATTTTACATACATGTATCCTTTTACAACTTTTTCTCTTAAGATTATCTTTAAGATTTGTCCGTGGTGATTCATATAATTTGTGTGGTTAACTGTCCTATGGGAGTGCCTGCTGAGTAACCCATGATTTCTCATCTTTAAAATTAGATAATTTCTAACTTTTCACTGTCAAAGACCGTAAATGCTCGAAGTCCTTTATATATATAATGCACAAAAATCCTTGTGCTCTTTTCAGACATACATTTTTTTTGGCAAATACCTAGAGCTGAAAGTGCAAGGTCCTGGGATGTGGACTTGTTTAACTTTGTGAGAAATTGCCAAAAACACTCTAAAGCAGTTGCAGTTTACATTCCTACCAATGTATAAGGAGCATGTAAGAGTTGGCCACATTTTAACCAACCCTAGGTTATCAGATTTTTAAAATTTTGCTAAGCAAATGTTTGAGAAATGGTATTTAGTTTGCCTCTTTTTTTTTGATAACTATAAAGGTTGAACATCTTTGCATGCGTTTATTGGCTATTTTGTTCTCTTCCTCTGTGAATTGCCTATCTATATTTGCTTAGTTGTTTTTTTGTTGTTTTTTTTTAGATTTTATTTATCTATTTGAGAGAGCACGAGCAGGGGGAAGGGCAGAGGGAGAGGGAGAAGCAGACTCCCCACTGAGAGGGAGCCCAATGCGAGGCTGGATCCCAGGACCCTGGGATCATGAGACCTGAGCGGAAGGCAGCCATTAATCAATTGAGCCACCCAGGTGCCCCTATTTGCTTAGTTTTCTAATGGGTTCTTTGTCATTTTCTAATTGATTTATAGATGTCAGAATTCTTTATGTATGTTTGGGATAATAATCCTAACCACACCTTTCAAGTGTGGCTGTTTTTCCTCCTTTAGAGTTATAAGGAAATGTTTAATTTTGACATATAATGTGTCCATCTTTTCGTTTGATATGTGCTTTCTTGTTTGAGAAATTGTTCTTTGATATGTTCTTCTTGTTTCTTTGATATGTTCTTTCTTGTTTGAGAAATTCTTCCCAATGTTGCAGAGTCTTCTATGTTTTCTTATAAACATTAGTACAGTTTTTCTTTTCTTGTTTAATTCTTTAATCCATCTGGAGTTGATTTGGTTTTCTTACAAACATTAGTACAGTTTTTCTTTTCTTGTTTAATGCTTTAATCCATCTGGAGTTGATTTTTTTTTGTGAGAAAGAGATCTTAGTCTGTCTTTTTCGATGTAGTTAGTTATCCCCTAATCTTTTATTAAATCTTTTCCCCATTAATGTGCACTACCCATTGATTTTATAAAAGCACATGTCCTATACTGCACCAAGCCCTCATCTTTTCTTGGATCTATACTATACTATATTTGTCTATACTACTGTACTAAATACCACACTGTTTTAATTACAACAGCTTTATAGCAAATATCTTACTTTGTTTTCCTTCAAGACTATCTTGACTTTCATGGATTTTTACTCTTCCATGTAAACTAAATGCTAAATTCCAAGGGGGAGTGGTTGGAATACCTGCTGGGATTTGACTGGAATAGTACTGAATTTATAGATAAATTCCCAGAGAATTTATATGCCTCGGTAAGATTTCCCATGATTAATTTCTACATTTATTTAGGATACCTTTTTTGTATTTCTGTTTGATGATTTTCTCCATAAAAGTCTTGCATGTCTTTTGTAGGATTTATTTTGTAAGGTCTCTTAATGTTTTAGGTTTCTAGCATCATTGTTGAATTATCTTACTAGTTTTAATAGTCTGTCTGCTGAACCTTTTGTATTTTCTGTGTAGATATTTATATCATCTTTGAGTAATACTTCTCAATCCCTGTACCTTTTAATACAGTATTAAGTGGAAGCTTTACTGTAGTGTTAAATGGCAAGTATTCGTTTGTAGTTCTAACTTTACAGGGAATGCTTCTAATGTTTTATGATTAAATAATGTTTATTGTAAGCTTTTGGTAAATGTTTTTCTACTCCTTGCATGCTAAGAGTTTCTTTCTTTTAAATAGATATTGAAGTTTATAAAGTGCTTTTTCAGTTTCCCAGATAAAAAGTTTGCGGCACAAATCTGACTTCAGTGTCTTCTCTAGGGCGATCAGCACATGACCTACTAGAGAGCGAGATCCCTAGGCAAAATCAAACAAGGGAAATTTGCTGGAATCTAAAGTGATGGATCCATGTTCAGTTGGAGTCCAGCTTCGTACCACAAATGAGTGCCATAAAACCTACTACACTCGTCACACTGGTTTCAAGACTTTGCAAGAATTGTCATCAAATGATATGCTTTTACTTCAACTTAGAACTGGAATGACACTTTCTGGGAACAATACCATTTGCTTCCATCATGCAAAAATTTACATTGACAGATTTGAGGATTTGCAGAAGTCATGTTGTGACCCATTTAACATACACAAAAAACTAGCCAAAAAAAATTTGCATGTAATTGACTTAGATGATGCCACTTTTCTGAGTGCAAAATTTGGAAGACAGCTTGTACCTGGTTGGAAACTTTGCCCAAAATGTACACAGATAATCAATGGAAGTGTGGATGTTGATTCTGAAGACCGGCAGAGAAGAAAACCTGATTCAGATGTATGTATAGCAGTCATTTTTTTCTTCTGTGTACTTCTACAATGTGAGGTTTTGTTGAACTATAAAGAAATATTTACATTATCATTTATTATACTAATTGTAATTAAAGTTGGGGAGGTGAAAATAAATGGTGTTTCTAAATATTTTTGTATACCCAGACTGGATGATAAAGTATGCTTGAGAAAGGAATAACATACTATGTCCAAGACTCAAGCTGTAATTCCTAGGGCTAAGATGTTGGGAGTGGCTTTCAGAACATTCTGGTAAAGCCAGGACTTAATTGTTATCTTAGTTTCTTTTCTAATACCAAAGTAACTCCATGAGACCTGCCCACCAGTGAGGATCTTTATAGCAAAATGAATTCCCCTTTCTTATGAAGGACTTAAAAATGACTGCTTTAAAATGAACACCAGAGAAATGACTTGCAATAATTGTTTCTTCAGCCTTTCTTTCTCCTTTGTCACTAATACCATTCTTGTTTGGGTTTTTTAGATGCTTGTGAGTTTCCTTTGCTTCTAGCTCTGAGTTCTTATTTGGTATGATCCAGCTAATTTAAGAACTCCCTGTGGTCAAAAAGCATACATTTTTACATTGTAAATACTAAATATTTATAACTCGCTTATTCACATGCCTACATTCAGATTATTTAACTATATCAGAAAAAAATTGAGATTTCATAAAGCTGTCTTTGGTGTAGAACAAAGACAAGTATATCAAAGGAGCACTTCTCAAAATTTCTATTTATAACCAATTTATAATTCTTGGTGCTGGGATATTTTTCTCAATTTCTTCCTTTTCATTATATTAATAAACCAAATTAAAAGATAATTAAAATTTTAAATTATATGTAGTGCTTCCCTTTTGTTCTCCCCTTAGAGGCATATCTCCAGGACCCACTATTCTCTTGCAGTTCATACTGGGTACTTGCTGCTGTCACTTAGATGTTTTCTCCATTTCATTTATTTGTTGCTCTCATGGAATATATCACATACACTGCTTTTTTCCCAGATAATGAACTTAAATCCTTAATCATCGAAATTTTGTTTTACCAAAGCTTTTTAAAAAGATGATAATACTATTTCGGAACTTAAAACCATATTACCTCCCTGCTTTTAAAAATATATATAATAGAACCTTTCCTTCAGGACTCAAGATCATATTAGAAACATCAGTTTTGTTTTTGTTTTTTTTTAAAGATTTAATATTTTTTTAAGTAATCTCCACACCCAACATAGGGCTCGAACTCATAACCCCAAGATCATGAGTCACAGACTCCACCGCCAGGCACCCCAGGAATCTCAGCGTTATGCCGTTGTTATACAACTGTTACACAACAGTTTTTCTGCCTTTTCTGCCATCTTAGCAGCAGCTGTTGCATTTTTACCATGCTTGTTGCCCCTCCTGATATGCCAGAGACTATAATTAGGTAATGAAAATATTACAACTAAATTAACCCATAAACTTTGGGTATTGTCTAGGGCTGTGTAAATGTTGTTGCACTTGGGCTCTAAAACCTTTTTCTTCTTTTTTGTGAATTCCAGACCATCCTTCAGGTTAAGGAATAATCTGGATTAACATTAAGTTAAATATTAATCTGTTCATGGTCTGTTGTCAAGATTTGAGTTGATAATTTGTTACCTTTATTCAGGGAAGAACTGCTAAAGCTTTGAGGTCGTTGCAATTTACAAACCCAGGAAAGCAAACTGAATTTGCTCCAGAAACTGGTAAAAGAGAAAAAAGAAGGCTCACAAAAAATGCAACCGCTGGTTCTGACAGGTAGGCTGTGTTCATTAAGACTTGTATTAACTTGCTGCTTCACATCTGTATTGTTTTCACTATCTTAAGTTTTGAATTTTCTGGGTATTTTAAATTGGATGATCTGGGATTAGTAAGAATCTCCAAAGACTGCATATAAAATGAAGGCATTCCTTTCAACTCTAAAAATTTCTTTTTTTTTTTTTTTTTTTAAAGATTTCATTTATTTATTTGACAGAGAGAGAGAACAAGTAGGCAGAGAGGCAGGCAGAGGGAGAGGGAGAAGCAGGCTCCCCGCCGAGCAGGGAGCCTGATGCGGGGCTTGATCCCAAGACCCTGGGATCATGACCTGAGCCGAAGGCAGAGGCTTAACTGACTGAGCCACCCAGATGCCCCTAAAAATTTATTTCTAAGAAAGTGTCAGTGAAGTGAACAAGTTAACATTTTTGGCATGAGAATTAAAATTTAAGCATATTATACTTAAAACAATTCTTTAAAAACATTAGTATTATATAATTGGTATGTCATTCCTCTATGGGTAGCATCCAAAAAGTCAATCTTAGAAGAATTCAAGGTTGCTTTTTATCTTTTTACATGTCTGAAGTAGAAACAGTTATGGTACAGTCAACAGAATGAGAAAACTAAATTGTTTAGAATATGACTTTTTAAATTGAACATTTCTTAAGCACAGGTTGACAAAGAAATGTTAGTATAATCATTCAGAATTATTTTCTACATATGCTATTTATTCCATCTGTTAAGGTTTCCATTGGGTCATTTAATTGTTTTTAAGCCAGATTTGCTAGAGTCCGTTAAAGAACAAGAAACAGATTAATTGCAGTATAAAAACCAATAGGGTAGTAGAAAGAGATCGGTAACCAACAAAATGTACCACTATTAAGCTGCTGTTCTCTGTTGTTGCTGTTAAGGTAAGGGGAAAATACTTTAAACAGAAATATATTTTTTGGAAATAGTAAAGGAATGGACTGAGTTGACTTTTAAATGGACTTCTAGAGGCATATTCAGGCTTTTTGGATTTGTCTCCACACTTTAGAATGAGTCTCTTCTTCTCACAGAGCTCATTTACTGCTAATTAGGCTTGAGTCTGGTAAGTTATGTACCAGTTTTGCAGGATGTCATCCCTAATTCAAAATAGTACACCTCCTTAAATTTGTTTTCATTGCCTTATTTTCAGTAACCTATTCAAAAATAACGTGTTTGTGAGGTGTAATTCGTCTGTTTTATTTTACAGACAAGTGATACCAGCAAAGAGTAAGGTCTATGATAGCCAGGGTCTCCTGATTTTCAGTGGAATGGACCTTTGTGACTGCCTTGATGAAGACTGTTTAGGATGTTTCTATGCTTGTCCTGCCTGTGGTTCCACCAAATGCGGAGCTGAATGCCGCTGTGACCGCAAGTGGCTGTATGAGCAAATCGAAATCGAAGGAGGAGAAATCATTCATAACAAACACGCTGGATAATTTGTGGTATCAGATTATGGGCTCTTTAAATATCCCTTCTCTATTTCTAAAACTCTGTCACCCTAAGATACATTTTAAAGTTGGTTGCCAAATGACAAGAATTTGAAAACCACCTCAGCATGCACTCACTCTGCACTAATGTTGCATTTAGGGAGCTTTAAGATTCATTATCTGATGTAAATTTAGATGAGCTGTTCCTCAGCAGTCAGCTTTGAGCCTGTCCGGGTCAATGTCAACAAGTAGGCAGAGGCAGTCCTCCATTAGCACAGCACAAATTTCAGTTACCATGGTCTATACTGTGAGCATTAGGTAAAGTACCAACTTCCCTGCTAGCCCTTTGGTCCACAAATCATTATGTAGCAGACGTGCTTCGTCACAGACCAATCACAGTACTTCTCTCAGATTCTGCTAGTGATTGGTTACTGCACCTCTGTCATTCAGTTCACTCCCAGACAGCAAAGCATGTGGTTGTATTGTCTCCTTGTCACCCATGTGACATTTTACAAAAGTAGATCATCAAAAGAACTGACCAACAAAGATAAAAGTGAATGAAGAAAGGAAAAACGGTAATGCTAGACGTGAGACTTGAACTGAACGTAAGTGGAGTTGTGGAGGAAATCCCCGATGGGAATGTTGGTGCTGCCGCGAGCCTCCGTACACAGCTAGGGGAGCCTTGTGGAGGCAAGCGTAAGGGAAACTGGTTGTGACGAGAAGGTTGAGTAGGTCCCAGAGGAAGTGATGGTAAAAACTTCACACTAAAGGCAATTAGAGTTATTTTACAACATTGAAAGTATGAATGATAAAATGGTGGAAGCTGATCCAAACTTGAGTATGACAGTTTGCCATGGCATAGAGTAGATGCTTACTTAGTATCCTAAGTTAACAAAAAGTCAAGCACTGTTCAAACCCCTTATGGTTAGTTTTTTACAGTGGAATAACACTTTCGCCGTGTTTCTGATGTTTTAAATTACAGTGTACTAACATACTTTTTTACAATGTTTTCATTTTCTTTTGTTTATAACACTGAGTTTTTAATATTTTGACAGATTTTTAAAGGTCACAGAACATTTTCCTGCATTGATTATTAAGATTGCTTTGAATGGCCATTTTTTATGGTCCTACATTACTGTGCAAGCCAAGGACTGTAGCTGAGTACAGTGCCCACCTACTTCAGGAAAAATTAATTTTGATAAAACTAGGTGGTCGAGTGTTAAAAGTATTTTGGAAATAATCTGCGTATCTAAATGCTAAAATTCATCTGGCGATTTACCCTTAAAAGAAGTTTTAGTATTGTAAACCTTTCATTGTTTAGACCATACATTCTTGGTGAAAATTTGTTTTTGATGGCAAAAATCTCATTCTTTGTATAAAGCATGGATATACATATAATACATAAACAGGGATACATTGTATCTGTGGTATTAAAGTTTTATGGGTGGTGATTAGGATTAAGAAGCCTAAAAAAGGCTTTAAGGGAGTAATAATGAGAAAAAAGCGTTAGAGCAACGCTGGTTGAGAGAGAGTATAAATTATTTGGAAATTGAATCTTGTACAGGATTTATGGAATTTGTATGGGTGCTGTTTGGAGGATGAGAGTGGGTGATAACTGCTCTTTTTTTAAGCAGCTACCTATTTGTCTAAAATTGTTCATCTAGGACATTGCCACTAAACTAGGTTTTTGCTTGGTTTTCCCTAAATTAGAGTACTTTGGTTTAATCAGATGAGCTTTTAGCAGTTTGAAATACTTTTTAGCTATTGAAACGAAATTTATACAACCAGTTTGATTAAATTGACCAGTAGAGGTTTATTTTTACTCCTGTATACTTCTGGTACCTGTTTAACCGGTTTTACTTTGATGGAATGCCATTTTGAACCATGGAATTGTCATTAAATTACATTTGTCACTGGCCTAGTTATCAGAAGTATGGTTAGTATCATACTTTTTTTTTTTTTAAAGATTTATTTATTTGACAGAGCAGGAACAGAAGCAGGGGGAGTGGCAGAGGGAGAAGCAGGCTTCCAGCCGAGCAGGGAGCCCAATGCAGGGCTCAATCCCAGGTCCCTGGGACCATGACCTGAGCCGAAGGCAGATGCTTAATGACTGAGCCACCCAGGCACCCCAGTATCAGTTATTTAATTCACATTTCAACAGAGCACTGGCAAAAAAGATATTTTGGCTTTATACACTTAAATCAGATGCTAGATTTTTTTTTTCTGAATTAAGGAAATATTTTGTTATAGAGGATACACAGACTCCCAATTTTATCTGAACTTCTGGGTTCATTAGACATTAGTTGCATTACTGCCAATGTTTTTGTTGGTTCTAAGTATGATTTAGTATATTGCTTAAGCTATTCGTAGGGACAAATTTAAGTCTTAGATTTTTTTTGTTTAAAACAGGAATACATTTTCAAAAGAATAAATGACTTTAAAATTCAAATTGTTTATATTTCAGCATTCCTTAGTGGAACATTTCTGTGTTTTTTTTCAAAGATGGTAATAATTTAAGTTTCAAGGGTAAATTTTTTGAACAGTTTTGCTTATATTTGTTCATTATACCTGTTTCCTAAATAGGAAGCACTCACTTTTCATGAGCATGCACAATGTTTACAGAGAGAGGTATGTCTAATTTAGAGTATGCTATAATAAAAGTTGTGTTTTGGGAAAATTACATCATGAGTTCACTTACTGTTTTTTAATATAGAATCACAGAAATACAGAATACAGTTAAATCATCTAGATTCTTTTTATAATATGGTTCCAAGTGGCTAAATTATTTTAGGATACTATTAGTCTAACAAGCAGAAATAAAAGCAATACGAACACTTCTGCTGTATATGGCTCCTGCTGGAGAAGTTAATGTAAGGCCATAAACATTGGTCTTACACAGTATTGGCCACAAATATTAAAATAAAAATGCATGTGTATATTTGAAGTAAATGGCATCCCATGTAATCTTTTTCCTATTTCTTTTACAAGTATAAGATGAAATATTATACTTGATTCTTCTATTTTTAAAATGTTATATCTACTTCTGTATAACAAGCTGTTCTCCCACCTGACAGAAAATTCTTCAGAAAAATGCTTTCATGAGCTCTCAAATATTCCATGTTCAGAGCCCCTAAACACATATTGCAGAGCCTAGGTAATATGAGTATTCTGTAAACAAACAAAAATGTTTGTTTTTTAATGGGGATGGCTGTCTGAAGTGTAGTTATATAAAGCATTGTAGGTGAGTTTTGTTGGACAAAATCTGGGCAGTTCAGTTCTTTGAAAGAGGTGTTGCTGCGCTGAAAAGGCAGATCCCACTGAGACCCCACCCCTCCCGGGTCAAGTAACAATGTATAAAACGGAGGGGTCTTAAAAGGACTGCACTTAGGTAATTCGAGATTTTCTGTTTACATTGCGGATACCCTGAAAGAAATACCTTAAGGTCCTTGTACAAAGTCATGTGGCACTGCCTTAGTTTTTGCTGACATCTGCTGGTATTTTGATGTAAATAAACTCTCTGCTGCTACTCCTTAATGCTTAATCTCTTCACTTCTAAATTAAACTGTGAACACCAGTATTTACATTGAAGTGGGGTATTTTAAAGAACCCTGGTAAAGTAGAATGGTCTCTCTTTGTAACATTCTTAGGCCTCACCCCGCAGGACTCAACCAGGTTTGTTTTTTTTGGAATATGAGTGAGGATATGAAAATATGTAGGGGTACTTCTGGATTTCACTTATTTTTATAAAGTGTAGAAACTTGGAAAAATAATGCATTTATCTACTTAAAAATCATCAAACACTCCATTGAACACTTAGTTTGAAAGGCATAATAAACTCCTGTAGAATATATACTCCCTACCTATAGATTATTTGTAATGGCATAGTTGTGAGGATTGACTAATTTTACCAAGATAATCTAACTTCCAGAAGATAAAGGAGATTTACCAGATAAAATATTAACTCAGTTGAGTTAGTAATACTGCATCTTTAAGTGCAGTTTGAAAGTATTTAATTACAGCCCTATCAATGCCACTTAAACTAAATGTATTAATTTTTTTTCCCCTTAAAGCCATGAGTGAAAAATTTCTTTGTGAGACACTTAATGATTTTAAAACTTCAATTTTCTCATTTCCTATCACTGCAAGCAAACAACTGTTTTATTAAAGAGTTGCCATAATCTTCAGCTATGGTTTTAAGATAAATGGACCTATTAAAAGTAAAATGCTTACAAATGCTGCTAAAATACTCCCAACTCCATCACATAATGCATGAAAACACAAAAGTTTGGCTCATGACTTTCATTGTAAACATGCTGGATGATCCTTCTTTTACTCAGTTCTTTTCAGAGGGACATTTTGAGGTGAGGGCACATCTTTCTTTAATGAAATAATATAAAAACTAGACATGGGTCAGAGTTGCAGGATATTTGTCCTTTTGAGAGAATTTCTGTAAAACCAAGATAGAAGAATATGGCCTGTAAAAGGAGACCTGAAATGATTCAAAATGTAAATACTAGCTCTGTAAGTATCCCTTTGTTATCAACAACCAATCAGATACATTAAACAACTTGATAAATACACATTAAGTTTTGGGGTTTTTTATTTTGGTTATATTCTGGTAGCCCAAGTTTATGATTTAGACTTAAAGGTAGTATTTACTTATTTTTTTTTAAATTGGTTATTTAGTGGCCTAAGATAAAGTAATAGTGGAGGCACTGGTACCATGTAAGTGGGTTCTACAAGGTTCTGGGTGAAATACAAATTTAATTTTGGCATTGAGAGGTAAAACTATTCAGGAATGTTCAGTGAATTCTGGCATCATTAGGGTTACTTTTTTTTTTTTTTTAATTATTTATTTCGACGGAGAGAGCGAGAGAGGGAACACAAGCAGGGGGAGTGGGAGAGGGAGAAGCAGGCTTCTTGCCGAGCAGGGAGCCCGATGTGGGGCTTGATCCCAGGACCCTGGGACCATGACCTGAGCCGAAGGCAGACGCTTAACGACTGAGCCACCCAGGTGCCCCATTAAGGGTTTTAAATAACAAACTCATGCCTTCCCCAGAGGTTAGTTAACCATTTTGATTTGGACAGAACTTTCCCGTTTTTCAGTTCAGCTTAGTATAGTGAAATCAGATCAGGTCTCATTAAGATTTTATTTGAGATAGAGAGAGCACGAGCGTAAGTCCTCCCACCAGCAGGGGGGCGCAGAGGGAGATGGAAAGACAGAGACTCTCAAGCTGAATCTGAGCTGAACAAGGAGCCCCACAAAGGGCTCTATCTCATGACCCTGAGATCATGACCTGAGCCGAAATCAAGAGTCGGATGCATAACCTACTGAGCCACCCAAGCGCCCCCAGATCAGTTGTTAAAATGGAGCCTGGAGGGCCAACCTGATAATCTGGAGAAAACTATCACTTGAGGGTTTTTTTGTTTGTTTTGGTTTTTTGGTAAATGAGGTTTTTAAAATTCCAACATGCTTTCGTCATTTATGCCTTAGTGAAGGAGACTATGCAAAGAGCACTCTGCATAAAATATAGGCCCTACAATCTGGTGCATGCAAATAAGATGATTTTCCAAAATAACATGGCTTATGGCTTTTCTAAACTTGGCCACAAGACTTCCCTATAGCAAATATTGAAAGGAAAACATTTCCAAAGTTTTTCTGTAAAAGTTTCCAACTCATCCCCAGAAGTTGTAGTTGAATAAATGCTTCAATTTGTCCTCAATGTCTTTTTGTATCAAAGAACTTCACATAGATTTAAGGGTCAGAGAACAGCTAAACATCCTTAACAGACGAAGCTTCCCACTGTGTGCCATACCCACGGCCCATGTTAGGGCCCTCAGACCTTTAGGTAGGGAAGTGGCCCTAGGAGATTCTTTGCATTTTGTTTTCCCCTGGTCCCAACTGGTTGACTTTGGTAAGAGACCTGGCCCAAGGGAAGCCAGTTTGGCCAGCAAAGCTTACAAGTTGGGCACATGTTAAGGAAACATCATCACCAAGTGATGAAAGAGATTGAGCCAATCAGATGCTCTCAAAACTTTAGACTAGATAGAGGAGAAAGAATTTGGTGGTTTGTATAAGGGGACATGAAAGGACAGAATCGCTAAGGCACGCTAGGGTTCTAGACCTACACACTTGGGAGGCACCAGCTCTCGGAGCTGTCAGTGAGTCCCCAGAGCTGCTGTCAGATGCGTACATCTGTTGTATCTCGAAAATGCCCACTCTCACTGCAAAGTCAAGATTCCATAATTTTCATTACATATCCTTGCAACAAACACTCGATTACTTAAGAAAACCTTAATGAGTTCTTTCACCCAAGGAGACTTACTAACAGACCTGCTCTTCTGATTAAGAGACTAGAGAGTGGAGGAGGTGTAGTGTTAACACTCCTGCACGTGTTAGCATTGTGTCATTGAAGAACTCTAGACCAGTGGTTCTCGAATTTGAGCAAGCATCAGAATCACCTGAGGGGCTTGTTAAACCCCAGCCTGCAGGGCTAGGGTTGAACCCACAGTTTCTGATTTAGTAGGTCTGGAAGAGGGACAGAGAATTAGCATTTCTATCACCTTCTTAGGTAAGGTTTGTAGGTGAGGTTGAAGTGGCTAGTCTGGAAACCATCCTTGAAAAACTGCTCTACAACGGTGGTTCTCAACCTTGGACGCACACTGGAGTAACCTGTGGAACATCAAAAAAATACCTTTATTTGGGCCTCACCCCCAGACACCTGGTTTAATTGGTCTGGGGTTTGGCTTGAGCACTGAGAAGGAAACTCCCTTCTGGCTCAGTGTGGAGATCACTCAGAATTCAAGTGGGTGACGGATGGTTGATTTTCTGTGGCACCTCGGTTAGACGATGGTATCCAGTTTTTCATCAGACATTACTCTAGATTTGCTATGAAGGTATTTTTTAGATGTGATTAACATATACATCAGTATACTTTATTTTTATTTTTTAAGGTTTATTTCTTTTACAGAGAGAGACACAGCAAGAGAGGGAACACAAGCAGGAGGAGTGGGAGAGGGAGAAGCAGGCTTCTTGCCGAGCAGGGAGCCCGATGTGGGGCTCAATCCCAGGACCCTGGGATCATGACCTGAGCCAAAGGCAGACGCTTAACGCCTGAGCCACCCAGGCGCCGCCCTTCAGTAGACTTTTGATTAGGCAGATTACCTTCCGTAACGTGAGTGGGCATCATCCAACCAATTGAAGGTTTTAAAAATATTGATGAACCCCAATGAAGAACGAATTCTGCCTCTCGACTGCCTTTTCAGACTCGAGCTGCAGCATCAACTCTTCTTTACACGTTTTGGACTTAGCCCCACAATCATATGAGCCAATTCCCTAAAAAATCTGTGTGTGTTTGTCTGTGTGTCTCTCTCCATCTCTCTCAATCTATACACACCTTCTTTCATTTCTCTGGAGAACCCTGGCTAATACAATAACCCATTTAGTCTCTATTCCAGATTGTTTCCCAGAAAGATCCTGGCTCTAAATCAGAGTGTAATTTCTTCATTAGATTTTTTTTCTTTTTCTATATCTCTGGCCTTCGGTGAGTCAGTGAGTATGTAACTCAATCATTTTTACTTTCTCCTATTCATGTTATCAAATCCATTTAGCTCCTCCTTGGAACATTCTTGAATCTGCTTTGGTTTTTTGTTGTTCATTTTTATTTTGTTTTCACCACCCTGGTTAAAGCTCAGTAGTGTTTTGCATACTTAGTATCAATCCCTCCTTTTGGTGTTAGCACCCAAATTTGCCTTTGAGCAACCACCCTCATACTCAGCCTGTGTTCAGGTGGTGTTGACCTCACTTTGTGATTCTTGGGGTGGGCACATCACCGAGTCCTGGCCTTTGAGAGTGCAGCATCTCCCCAAACTTAGTGAATGTCTCACGGGTGAATACACGATTAGCTGATCCGATCAAAGCCAATAAACATCAGCATTGCTGGGCCCGGAGAAAAAGAGATACTCATTTTTCAGTGAGAGTTTCTAATGTTACAGATTTAGGACTGGATCTATTGGTGTCTTATCCAGACACCATTTAAGAATCAGCCTTAGAATGAAAGCAACATAGGTAAAAGCAGAAGCCACAGTCAGTCAGACAGACAGACAGGATTTGGATACCCGGATCCAGCTATGTCTGAAGTCAATCCTGAACTATCCAGTCACATGAGCCAGTCATTTTCACTTTTTTTCCCGTGATTGGCCATTAAGTGAATACAAGGATGAACTCTCTTCATCCAAAGATAAAAACCACCAGAGCTCAAGGGTAAAATGGCCTGTTTGAAACTCATGCCCTTGGAATGTATATGCATTTTTTTTTAAGGTTTTATTTATTTATTTGACAGAGAGATAGCGAGAGCAGGAACACAAGCAGGGGGAGTCAGAGAGGGAGAAGCGGGCTTCCTGCCGAGCAGGGAGCCCGATGTGGGACTCGATCCCAGGACCCTGGGATCATGACCTGAGCCAAAGGCAGACGCTTAACGACTGAGCCACGCAGGCGCCCTGTATATGCATTTTAAAGAAGGAGCACAAGTAGCTGTGACCTACAGCCACATCTTTATTCCTCCTCCAAATTCTTGCAGAAGCTGCTTACTCTGTAGTTGTCGTGGACACTTAATTCTGTATGTTGAAGTAGACAATGTGAGGCAGTGGTTCTACCAGAAAAGGGTGAACAAGGCACAGTTCAACATTTTCTGTATGTCACTTCCAATGATAATAGTGCCAGAAAACTAAATGTACAGGGACTTTCTGGTACTTGATAGTCTTTTAGAAGCTGGATATTCTAAATCACTTATGATAAGGATATTTGGATGCTTTCATTTTTTTTTATTTTCTATACTGATGTATTTTTAAAACTTTTTTTCAGTTTTGAAATTAAACGAAAAAAAGCATTGATTATTTTTGCCATGAATTTCACAGGTTGGCATATTTCTGAGGGTTTTTTTTTTTAAGACTTTTTTTTTTTTTTTTTTTGACAGAGAGAGAGCACAAGCAGGGGGAAGCAGCAGAGGGAGAGGGAGAAGCAGGCTTCCCGCTGAGCAGGGAGCCCGATGTGGGACTCGATCCCAGGACCCTGAGATCATGACCTGAGCCGAAGGCAGACGCTTAACCGACTGAGCCACCCAGGCGCCCCTCTGAGGTTTTTTTGTTCCAAAACATCTTTGTAGGGCTATCATCTATTTCCTTGGAAAAATATATAGCTCTAACATTTGTATAATTTAGAGAAATATTTGGATTGTTAAACCTTTGCTATTAGCCAAAACTTTGGTAAAAATAAACACACTTTAAGGGGGAAAAAAAACAACCCTGTTTTTATACTTCTACTTTGTTGACTTTTATGCTTCAAATTTAAAAGAACCAATTCTATACAATTAATAATTGGGACAGACCTAATAATATAGTACCATTTCACACATACTGAGTCTAACTCTTAGCAACATGCTACCTTTGTTGGGTGTTCTCTCATTTCATCTTCCCAGCTGTCCTACTTAGCTGCTACCTTTTCAGTTACACAGTACAGTATTAGCAATTATAGTCACCCTGTTTTACATTAGATCCTCAAACCTTATTCATCATATAGCTGAAAGTTTGTACCCTCTTACCAACCTCTCCGTATTTCCCTGGTAAACTGGTCCCCCTGCCCACCGCCCCCACCCCCAGGCCCTGGCGACCACTTTTCCATGCTCTATTTCCAAGAGTTTTGACTTTTTGTTTGATTCCACATGTAAGTGTTACCATGCAATATTTGTCTTTGCCTGGCTTATTTCACTTAAGCTGCTACTTTTATAATTATCATTTAACAAATGAAGAAACTGAGGCTCAAATAATTTAATAACTTGCCTACGGTCACATAGCTTATAAATGAGAGAGAAGGGATTCAAATGGGGTCTATTTGACTCCGAAGTTCAAATGCTGACTTACAGCCACTGTATTCTTTTTCCATTCACTTGATGAATGTGAACTTCTTCCTATTCAGGATTCACTGTAGCTATTTGATTCTGATGGTTTAGGAATTATTATGGCTTGTTATTATAATTACGATTCTAGTTAGGTATTACAGGTTCCTTAAGGTGTGTCCTGGAGTCCCCAGCATTCAGACACCTCCAGAAAAATGGACAGAAAATTATTGCTTGGCCAGTTCCAAAATGTCTTTTGCTTCCATTCTGAGGAGTCACTTTGAAGAGTTAGATATACACCTGATAAATGATAACAGCCTTTCATTGTGTCATTGGGCACCTAACTGTACTTTTGTTCTGACGTTTAAATCCTTTGTATCCATCTCCGTTGTACGATACCCATATGCCCAGAAGAGGGCGATGTTTTACTACAAACTGCCTCCAACCTGCTTTGGACAAAGTGTACATCTAGAAACAAAATTTCTTAAGGTTAAATTGGAGTGCCATTTGCTTCAGCACCCTTTGCTTAAGTCCTTTGGGAGGAAAATGTTTCTTCTAAATATTATATGGAGAAGAGAAAAGTTTTCTTTCTCAACCACTTCATTTTTATATAGGTTGTTCTTTCAACTGAAAATCAAATACTTTATTGAAGTACATTGTAGTGGAATATTCTAGAACCAGTCCACACTTCAATTATAAGTATTTCTACAATCCAGAGAAAAGAGCATGGGCTTTGGTGTTAGAAAAACCTGAATTTGAGTACTGTCTCTATTCCTTCCTGGCTTTATGACTTCACACAAGTTACTTAGTTTTTAGAGACCTCAGATTTCTGAATAGTGGTACCTACAGGATAAATAACAACGTTGTGAGGATTAAATGTGCCCGCTTCGGAACCTAACACAGATGCTCAGTAAATGGCAATGTTCTACATTTCTGAAAAAGCAGCCAAACAGAGCAAAGTTATATGAAATTTTCTTTTAAGATGAGCCTTGGTCATTTCCATCCTCTGTTGCATTAAGCAAAAACACTTGGCACATACTACACATTCAGTCAATTTTGTTGAATAAATATTTTAAAATATAAAAAAAAGTTACACTTTAGGAAAAGCAGGAAGCTGGAGATAAACTGGTAATGTAGTTTACTAGGTATATTTCTACCCTCTTCCCTTCCTTTCTTCTCCCTGCCCCCAATAAAAGAAGCTAGTCCCCTCCTTTCTTTGAGTGAGGGAAGGGAGTTTGACCAAGTAAGAATAAGGTTTTAGAAATGAAGGGGAAAAGGAATAAAAGGAAGTGTTTGTTTGCTGTCCTCTGTTTTGTCTTTGGTAGGTAAGAATCTGCTGCCGAAGGAAAGCAAAGGCTTGGGGGCCGCAGGAAGTGCAGAGTCCAGACCCTGGGCCCCAGGAGGCAAGAGCCACAGGTGCCAAAGGCAGGTGCCACGGGGAACTGGCTCTGTGGCAGGGGGTGGTGAGCTCTCAGAGGTGGAAGCAGCCACACATGAGCTCTCCTCTCTCTACTCTGCGCATCCCTCCTCCTGGGAAACCCTTAACAAGCTGAGCCCAGAACAGCAAAAGGGGAGTTGCTGCGGGTTCTGCCACTTTGCGTGCTGTTGGCCTTTGGTCTGGGTACTCACGCCCCAGGCCCAGCTGTGTCTACTCCCAGCAGGTACAACATGTCAGCTCCATTGACCCATGAAGGTCATCATGACTAAACAACCAGAAGATGTAAGTGATGACACTTCTCACAGGAGGGAAATCACCTCTAAATGACAAACATGGCTGCCACCAGGGGCTTAAAAATAGAGATTTTGTACGATGATGCTCATCACACTTATAATAGCAAAATTTGCAAACTAATTTTCCAACTAGAGGAAAACTGTTGAATAACTAATGGTATAATATTTATGTATCAACATAATGCAACCAAGTAGGTTGGGTGGAAAAATTTTAATGACATGGGGCAATGGTCATGAGGTTAATTATTTTTTTTAAGGCAGAGTACAAAACAAGGTAAACAGGACAACTCCAAATTGTTGAAAAGCAAAATAAAGCAGAAAAACAGGAACCTCAAAATGCTAAGAGAACTTATCTTTGGTTGGATGTTATTTTTCATTTTTTTCTATCGTATGTTGTACAGTTTTCAAACTTCCTATACTGAACACTCTAATCACAAAAATGCAGCATTACAAAAGGTGGTGGAAGTTGTTGATGCCAATGGTTTGTATCCCCTCATATAGCAGATGAGGCATGGCTCTTGTAGACAAACGTTAAAGGACTTCGGCAAGTCTCTTGACAACTCTGACCCTCATTTTTTGTGTCCTTAAAATGGGAATAATTCAATAGAGTGGGGGTAGTGAGGAGGGACTTCATTCAGTTGTGATCATTAAGTGAGATGATATATGTAAACCTTTGCTCAGCTCACTGCTTGGTACAGAGGAAGCATCCAATCAACTATAATAACTATTATTAGAGAGCAGAACAGATGAGTTGTTACCAAATTCTAGCCCTGGCTTCTTCAAGCTTGCCTACCTGCCCTCCTTCCTTCTTCTCAAAAAACAGCTGATATTAGCAATTTCATAAGATTTGACCATGACAGGGCACCTGGGTGTCTCAGTCAGTAAAGCATCTGCCTTTGGCTCAGGTCTTGATCCTGGAGTCCCAGGATGGAGCCCCATGGAGTTCCCTGCTCAGCAGGGAGTCTGCTTCTCTCCCTTTGCCCCTCCCCCTCCCCCCATCCCGCCTCCCACCCCCACCGGCTCGTGTCTGCACCTTCTCACTCACTTGCTCACTCTCAAATAAATAAAATCTTAAAAAGAAAAAAAAAAAAAAGATTTGACTATGACTCTTGTTTCACCCCATCTCAAAAGTTTGAAGACAAGGAAATGGATACCAGACCTTTCTGGGGAATGGATTCCTAATGATAAAAAGACAAAGGAAGGAAAGTGTGATTCTTTGGGAATGGGAGGGAGGAACAGCTGCTTGGCTATCAGAAAAGGAGTGGTTCTGTGTCTGTGTACCAAGGAGAGATGGGCCAGCACACGGGCCTGGGGTTGTGGTGCATCCCACGGAGGCCCGAGAGAGAGCACAGGTACCCAGACCTGGGTAGAAGTGCATATCTCTCTGCTGGGCCATCCAACTCAACCTCCCACCATTGAGACCTGGAGCGCAAGAGGAAACAAAATGAATGTGAGCCACAATATCAGGGATTTAGGTTAAACACTTCATTTGGGGCGCCTGGGTGGCTCACTTGGTTAAGCGACTGCCTTTGGCTCGGGTCATGATCCCAGGGTCCTGGGATCGAGTCCCACATCGGGCTCCCGGCTCAGCAGGAAGCCTGCTTCTCCCTCCCATGGCTGGATTTGCCAAATGCACTTCTCCCCTCCCGTGGCCCCACCTCCTGCCACGATTCCCACCCACATGGCCTGAAGCACCAGAAACTATTTACTGTCAGGCCCCATCAAGGGAAACCCCTCAAAAATATCCTGAAAAACAGAATTTAGAGAGGCTTGAAATATAAACACACGAACAACCCTGAGATATTTTTTTAAAATCTAGACTCAAAGTAAAAGATTACTTTATTATTTTTTGCAGTAGTAAGTATGAGCACGGTCCCACACTTGTGTTGTAACCCTTAAACAGCCATCGAAGGTAGGTGCTTCAATATTTCCATTTTGCAGACACATGAAAACTTGATGAGGTAGTTCTGCTTTGTTCACTCCTTTGTCTCCGTACCTACAACACTGGCTACCCTCTACATACTCAGGAAACATTTGTCGAATCAATGAATGGAGTTCAACACCACGCATAAGCCACACAGCTGGTAAGGGGTGAGGCTGGAGTCACACCCAGGCTGGCCTAACTCCAAAGACTGAGTTCTTAACTACTGCCCCTGTTTACCTTTTTCCCACTGACGACTTAAGTCTGGGAAAGAAGACAAGGGCCTTGCTGGTGAAGGCACTCACCTCCATGACACTTAGAGTCAGCATGTCCGTGGATATGACTGGACATAGTGATTTCTCCAGGGTCACTGCTTAGACGTTACTAACAGGATCCAGGGCTCCTCTGCTTTGGGAATATATTTACATACCCGCTGAAAAGCTGGTCCCTTCTATATAATATAATTCTCCAGGCTTTCTGTAATGCAGAATGATCAATTATGGGCTACTTACCAAAAAACGTCTAGATACAGGCAAACACATTTCTATTATCATTTAGCAATTGCTTGAGGGCTTTGAAAGTGTCTGGAATACAGGCAGTTGAAGAAGTGTCCCCTAAGAAATTATCAAGATGAGGGCTTGGAAGTTAAATGCACTTCCTCTACCTTTTAGGCTCTATCTATTTGAAGGTGAACAGATTGCATTGCATTTCTCTGTGTGATTAACATCAAGCACCCTGTGTTGGTTGAAAAGGTTCATTATCTGGAGAAGAACTTAAAAGGGAGGATGGACAACTTCAATTTAGATAATTGTTGCCTGTGATGGAGTGCTCTTCAAATGGGTCTGCGTGGGGTGGGGGCGAGGAGGAGTGCCATCCACTAAGCGCTGGAAAGGCTCTCAGAACCCACAGGCAGCAAATACCTAAGTAGAGGAAGCATGATATATGGGATCAGAAACCCTGAATTTCAGCTCCAGATCCATCACTTACTAGCTTGGTGGCCTTAAGCAAAATCAATCATCGTCTTTGAGGTCAGTTTTGCCATCTGTAAAAGCAGCCATGACCAGGCCTGACTTTCAGGTTGTTGGAAGGATCCAGTGACATGGCTGGGAATGCTTTGCAAATGCTCTGCATAAAAATTAAGTGCATTGTCTTGGAAGGGGCTTTGTTGGCTTTGCAGCAAATGCACTTCTACCTCCATGGGAAGTGTAATCGTGGTCAGGAACATGGATTCAAGGAGGTACGCTACCTGGGTTCAGATCCTGACTTAGCTGTGTGACCTTGGGCAAGTCCCTAAACCTCTGTGTGCCTCAATCTTTCATCTGTAAACATTTTTCATCTGTACTGAGTATCATATAACTTCAAATAGGCAGTGGTGTCAGCACATAGTAAATCTACATATTTGCCACCACCATTTTTTAAAAACTTTCTTCCAAGGATCTTTTCCCTGAAAGAATGGAATGGAACAAGTACAAATATTACTTAAGACAGAGTATAGTGAGTGCCATAAGGAAGTACCAACCATCAGTTCTGGGAGTCGGAGGAGGAGAGGACATTTCTACTCGGAGGAGTCAGGAAAGGTTTCACAGAGAATAACCAGGGAAGGTTGTGAAAGGGAGCACATTCCTCTGCCTGCCAGGGGAGCCATGGAGGGGAGACCCAGCTGGACATGTTGGAGAACAAGGTCTATATTTATAGACTAGAGAGAAAGTAGGAGATGGACCTGGAAAGGCAGATTTTAGCCATAGTGTGAGGGGCTTTAGGTGCCCAGATGCGGGGATGCAGGCAGTGGAGAGAGGATGAGAGCCTGTGGGCTTGAGGAAGATTAACCCAGCAGCATTCTGCAGGAGGGATGGAGTGGATTCGGTGCACTTCATCATCCTGGCAAGCAGTAACGAAGGTGACGGGGGTCCTCCTACATTAGCAACTCAGACAAGTTGCAATATGCCTCCAACAACATCGGGAAGGGCAATCATTTCTCTAATGTGTGAAAAAGGAACCCCTAGTTTGTAGTTTTCCCATTCATATTAGTGGCTGAGTGGAGCTTCCCATTCCGCTACCTCAGTATGAAAGGGGGAGGGATGGAATTATTGCCCATCCCAGGCCAGGGCCTTCACTCATAGGCTCTGATGAAGGACTGAGAAGGGCTTCTCTGACATGGGCATATCCTTTCTCCCAGTGGAATTTTGCCATGCCCTCTCATGTAGACAAACATTTTTCTTTTTTTTTTTTTTTTAAAGATTTTATTTATTTGACAGAGAGAGAGAGAGAGCAGGAACACAAGCAGGGGGAGTGGGAGAGGGAGAAGCAGGCTTCCCACTGAGCAGGGAGCCCGATGCGGGGCTCGATCCCAGGACCCTGGGATCATGACCTGAGCCGAAGGCAGACGCTTGAAGACTGAGCCACCCAGGCGCCCAAGACAAACATTTTTCAAGATCGCTTTCACTGCCACCTTTTGGGGGTATATTTCCTTGAGAAATGAAGTGCTTTCATGCAGCTGGATGGCAGTTAGCTTTCTCCCCAGGCCAGTGGGGCTATTGTGTAGGGCACTGTGTACAAGCTGAGTGACTCTGTGTGGCAGCCCAGCCACCCGGTCAGCCTCACCACAGGGGACATTCAGAGGGTTGCTCCCAGGGGTTTCCACCCCTCTGGGAAAGGCAACCTTGAGGTGTTCCCCTGGGGATTCTGCCTCCCCGGCCTCAGTTGGTCCACTCGTGGGCACCTCTGCCCAGCCAATCAGCATCCTTCCCTGGAATGCTTAGAGCTGAAACTAAGGAGAGGATGTGCCTCATTTCGGTGGTGGAAGCAACAGAACTTGAAGAGAGGGAACACCCATCAGCCAGGGTCCCAGTCCAGGGAAGAAGACAGTCTACATAGCAGAGAAGGGCACTGCCCCAGGAGAAAAGTCAAGTCTTGGTTGAATTTGAGTCCCTTTCCAATTTTCCCTAAGGACTAAATCCACCCTCGTTCTACTCTAGATTATGAGTAATGCCCATTCTTTTACCTAAACTATTCTGAATTGGACTTCTTTCACTTTTGATCTAAGGGTCATGATTCATATACCTGTGCCCTCACCCTGTGCTCATCAATTAAAACTTACTCAACATTTTCCCATTCTTTTCCGTGTCCTAAGGATTGAACAGATGATCTCATCACTGCTAACACTGAGAACAATGTGTTAGCCCTTAATGATCACAGGAAGCACTTACACACTACTATTACAAATTTCAAAATAATTTTTCAATCAGTGTTTCACCTAATCCACAAAACATGCAGGAAGATAGGGTGGTTATGCTCTTCCTTACTTTACAGAAGAGAAAAGTCAGGCCTGGATTAATTAACTGCTGACTCACAAGAATTTTTGCCTAAATCCCCCCAGTTATTTCCTGCCAGAATCTAAATTTCAACCCATATCTTTTGTCTCCAAATCCAGTATATTTTCCCCAATACCTTCTTACATGAGGAAGTGACCCAAAGCTTCGACTTCGGGTTATTGATGAAAGCCAGTGAGGAAGATGATGTGATCAAGGAGACCTTCATAGGATCTTCAGAACTGGTTAGGGAACGTTCAACTCTGCCTACAAGAAAGGGGGTAATGCCGTTGCCTATGTTTGGAGGGACCAAAGGAAATAACACTTGGGCCAAGACTAGGATGAAGCAAGTGAGGAGGGGAGGCAAGTAGGAGACACCTATATTCAGGGTCATGCAAGGGCTTGCCTGGCCCTGTGATATCCTTAAGGTCATAGCTGGTCATGCAAGGGCTTGTCCTGGCCCTGTGATATCCTTAAGGTCATAGCTGGTCATGCAAGGGCTTGCCCTAGCCCTGTGATATCCTTAAGGTCATAGCTGCAAAATTCAGACTTCAGGTGTCTACGAATAAAGACCCCCTGAAATAAAGACACTGTTTCTACATGAAAGTAAGTGTTGGAAGTTACGTTGAATGAAGAATCAGATGACCAAAAGTAGGCACTGGTAGTCAACTCTGTCATGCCTGTCATTTAGACCTCATTGTTCTAATACCTTTGCTCAGTATTTGCACATATAATTGATTCACTTAGCTAGCCACCCTCTCAAGAAATGTATTTTTTGCACTCATCCTGACACATAAATGTCCTAGGTGAAGGAAAATTACAATCACATTCTGTTGGGAACCTAGCAAAACCCAAACAAATACTAAAAATCAGTATTTTTAAACCTAGAGTAGATCCTAGAGATAATCTATTTCAGGTGGATTTCTG